AATATATATACGATAGCCCGGAATGGGGGTCAATCCTGGTCTCATACCATAGATATATAGACGATTTAATTTTTATATGGGATGGATATGAAGAAGATCTTAAGGCATTTTTAGAAAGATTAAATAATAATAATTGGGGTATAGTTTTAACTAGTGTTTTTAGTAAGTCTAATATTAATTATTTAGATTTAGAAATATATATAGAAAAGGGTGAGATTAAAACAAAAAATTTTTTTAAAAAAGTAGATGCCAACAATTACGTTCTATATAATAGTGGTCACTATACTCCTTGGCTTAACAATATTCCTAAGGGCCAATTACAAAGAATTAGGAGGAATTGTACAGACAAGGATAAATTTGAGGAACAAGCCAAGACAATTTTAGATAGGTTTAAGCAAAAAAAGTATCCACAACAGATTTTAGAAAAAGCGTATAATGAAACAATAAATTTAGAACCTAATCAGTTATTAAGTAATCATAAGGATGTAGGAAATTTAAACAAAGAAAGTGGAATAATATTACCCTTGGTTTTTGATTTTAATCAAGAGTGCAATAGAATGAAATCAATAGTAAATAAACACTGGCATATTTTAAAGAAAGATAATGAACTCAGCAAAATTATTCCAGAGAAACCTTTTATTACATTTAGAGGAGCACCAAATTTTAAACGTATTTTGACTTTTAATCATCCTAAAAAAGAAATTCCGAAAACTTTTTTAGATAATAATAAAAAAGGATTTTATTCTTGTAATAAGTGTGCAGGATGTAGGTGCAGTAAAAATGCTACTCTGAAGGGGGTTAGTAAATTTAAAAATAGGGAAGATGCAGAGTTTTCTATTGAAAATTTTATTACGTGTTTTAGTAAAAATGTAATTTATTTATTAATATACCCATGTGGATTACAGTATGTAGGGCCGGACAATTACATACTACATAAAAAGAATATATATGAGCATGTAAGCCAATATTACTAAGAGATTCACGATAATCGCAGGTATTTCAACCCATTTTAAAAAATACCACAATAAAAGACCCTAGAAGTCTGGCATTCTTAGGTATAGAAGATAGTGAAAAAAATCATGGAAGGGGTAATCATATCATTGACATGACAAAAAGTAAATGGTCCATAGGCTAAAAACTTTTAGAACCTAGAGGGCTCCAATATAAATTTGATTTATTTAATTTTTAAGGTTAATACTGATGTGTTCTTTTTAGTATAATTAAATATGTTCCTATTCCTCATAATGTAAAATATTTTTCTCTTTTTATATTTAGATTAGGAGGAGGTGCTATATTGTTATGTCATTAGCATGTATTTTTAAATATGTATTTATGTATTTTTAAGCATGTTTCTTTAAATGTGTTTGTTTAAACAATTCTCTTAAGGTAATGATGGTTTTAAGTATGTCTTCTTAAATATGTCTCTTGAAATAAGTTTCTTTGGGAAATTATATGTTTCAATGTTTTTTTATATATATATGTGTTTAAATAATGCAAGTATTTAAATTATGATGTTTTTCGAATAAAGTAATATTGCTTTTTTTGTGTATATAAATGCAATTGATTTGATTGATGCCAGCAACAAAATAACAGACTTTATATGGCAGTCACCTGAATGTACTCATTATGATGGGTATATAAGAACTGTAAGGACATGGATGGGCAGATCTGATGAAGCCGTGAATACGGCGAAACGCGTCATCACGTTAAGTTACGCACCTGACGTCACGCACCCGAGAAAGCTCCTCCCCCTGGAAGTTTGAGGAAACAGACGGCCAACAGACGGCAATTACGGCGGCGAAACCGCAGAGGACGGGTGCGACGCCGCTTATGCTTGTATGCTGCGGCTGGGCGCCGCAGGGTGTGGAGGAAGGTGATATATTGTGGTGCTGTGCTGGAGCAGCTAAAGATTTTGGAATATATTTTTACGTCTATGCAGTCCTACATTTGAAGAAGCTGTTAAAGCTAAGAACGAGCTTATTCTGCTTCTACTTTTGTGGAGTGCAATATTTGGCATTTATTATGCCACCATTTTAATACGTTTCACACTATTGTTTTTTTTTATGTCTCTTTTCCTTTTTTATGTACATATTTGGAGTCAAGGAGCCATATGTATGTATAATATTTTATATTGATATTTTACACTTTAAGTGCACTTTGTATCACTTTGCACTTTATCAATTTGTTTGCACTTAGTTGCACTCTATACATTTTTGGGTCTTAAAGACACAGCGCACCTTACTATTTTTTAGTATATTCACTAAAGTGTTTGGAGGAGTTTTACACTTGTTTTTGGTGCAGCTCTTTTTTATATTAACAGGTTGTTCTGTTTTATTCTAGACGATTTTATTACGAGCGCCTACTTTTTACTTGTTTTCTGTGTGTATTGATAATTTCTGCCTTGTTCTAATTCATATTTATCCAATCACATTTCAAATGCTACTCTTTCTTTATTTTTTTATTTAGCTGACTGTCCCAGTATGCAAATTTATTTATCTTCCCAACCTGACATATATAAATTCGCGTAACTGGGGGCAAACCTGGTCCCCATAGCAGTTCCCTGGCACTGTAAGTAAAAATGAGAATTAAATAAAAAATAATTATTATTTAAAATCCAGTTAATACTTTTAATTAAAAGTATTAACTGGATTTTAAATAATAATTATTTTTTATTTAATTCTCATTTTTACTTACAGTGCCAGGGAACTGCTATGGGGACCAGGTTTGCCCCCAGTTACGCGAATTTATATATGTCAGGTTGGGAAGATAAATATATATACGATAGCCCGGAATGGGGGTCAAACCTGGTCTCATACCATAGATATATAGACGATTTAATTTTTATATGGGATGGATATGAAGAAGATCTTAAGGCATTTTTAGAAAGATTAAATAATAATAATTGGGGTATAGTTTTAACTAGTGTTTTTAGTAAGTCTAATATTAATTATTTAGATTTAGAAATATATATAGAAAAGGGTGAGATTAAAACAAAAATTTTTTTTAAAAAAGTAGATGCCAACAATTACGTTCTATATAATAGTGGTCACTATACTCCTTGGCTTAACAATATTCCTAAGGGCCAATTACAAAGAATTAGGAGGAATTGTACAGACAAGGATAAATTTGAGGAACAAGCCAAGACAATTTTAGATAGGTTTAAGCAAAAAAAGTATCCACAACAGATTTTAGAAAAAGCGTATAATGAAACAATAAATTTAGAACCTAATCAGTTATTAAGTAATCATAAGGATGTAGGAAATTCAAACAAAGAAAGTGGAATAATATTACCCTTGGTTTTTGATTTTAATCAAGAGTGCAATAGAATGAAATCAATAGTAAATAAACACTGGCATATTTTAAAGAAAGATAATGAACTCAGCAAAATTATTCCAGAGAAACCTTTTATTACATTTAGAGGAGCACCAAATTTTAAACGTATTTTGACTTTTAATCATCCTAAAAAAGAAATTCCGAAAACTTTTTTAGATAATAATAAAAAAGGATTTTATTCTTGTAATAAGTGTGCAGGATGTAGGTGCAGTAAAAATGCTACTCTGAAGGGGGTTAGTAAATTTAAAAATAGGGAAGATGCAGAGTTTTCTATTGAAAATTTTATTACGTGTTTTAGTAAAAATGTAATTTATTTATTAATATGCCCATGTGGATTACAGTATGTGGGACGGACAATTCGCCCACTACATAAAAGAATATATGAGCATGTAAATAATATTACTAAGGGTTACGATAATCATAGTGTTTCAGCCCTTTTTAAAAAATACCACAATAAAGACCCTAGGGGTCTGGCATTCTTAGGTATAGAGATAGTGAAAAAATCATGGAGAGGGGGTAATCATATCATTGACATAGGCAAAAAAGAAATGAAATGGGTCCATAGGCTAAAAACTTTAGAACCTAGGGGGCTCAATATAGAATTTGATTTATTTAATTTTTTAGGTTAATACTGATGTGTTCTTTTAGTATAATTAAATATGTTCCTATTCCTCATAATGTATAATATTTTTCTCTTTTTATATTTAGATTAGGAGGAGGTGCTATATTGTTATGTCATTAGCATGTATTTTTAAATATGTATTTATGTATTTTTAAGCATGTTTCTTTAAATGTGTTTGTTTAAACAATTCTCTTAAGGTAATGATGGTTTTAAGTATGTCTTCTTAAATATGTCTTTTGAAATAAGTTTCTTTGGGAAATTATATGTTTCAATGTTTTTATATATATATGTGTTTAAATAATGCAAGTATTTAAATTATGATGTTTTTCGAATAAAGTAATATTGCTTTTTTTGTGTATATATATGCAATTGATTTGATTGATGCCAGCAACAAAATAACAGACTTTATATGGCAGTCACCTGAATGTACTCATTATGATGGGTATATAAGAACTGTAAGGACATGGATGGGCAGATCTGATGAAGCCGTGAATACGGCGAAACGCGTCATCACGTTAAGTT